GTTCCTAGAATATGTGTCTGGTGGGTTCCCCTTTCCGTGACTGTATCCCCTGGGCTACAGTGAGCTCAGAGGACAATCTTTCTGTACCCACAGTTGACACCGGAAGTGTTTAAAAGACAAAGCCCAAGAGGCCAGCAGCCGTGTAGACCTGTACGCCATCACTGCGGTGCCTCGAATGAGAACAGCCCCCACAGACTTGTACATTTGAGTGCTTGGTCCCCAGCTGGTGGAACTGTTTGAGAAGGATTAAAAGGTGTGGCCTTATTGGAGGAGCTGTGTCACTGGGGTCAGGTGTCACATAACTTCAAGCTCTGAAGTTTCATTCCCAGGTCCCTATCCTTGTCTATCTGTCTGTCTCTCTCTCTCTTTCTCTGCCTCCTACCTGTGAATCATATGTGAGCTCTCAGCTATTGCTCCAGCACCATGCCTCCCCCTCTGTTGCCCTGCTCCCCACCATAATGGTCATGGATTCAAACCATCTGGAATTATGAGCCACCAGATTAAATGCTTTCTTTTATAAGCGGCCTTGGTCTTGGTGTCTCTTCACAGCCATAGAGCAGTAACTGAGACAGTCACAGACATGATACAACTGGTCTTTTAAAGTCTGCCCTCAGGTGGGAAGCAAGAACCTTGAATTAGGTCCCTTTCCTCTAACTGGCTTGGGCAGGTCTCTTTCTGTTCACTGGCTTGAGTTTCCTGTGGACAGGGCAGCACCTAATGGCCACCATAGCAGGCAGAGTGTTGTCATCAGACCCCCTTTACAGATCTGACCTGCATCAGATGTCAGATCACCACCCTGTTTCTTGTCAGCTGTGCAACTTGATGAAGAGGCCTCATGGCTCTAAGCTTCAGTTCCCTGCACAATAGGGGCAATGTTGTTCGCCACACAGAGCCAATATATGGTTAGTCGGTGTGTGGAAAGCAGTTTGAATAGGGTGAGGCACTTAGAAATTTTTGAAATATCTTTGTTCCATGTGGTGCCAGTGATACACAAAGAGAAGCCAGGGAAGGAGCGGGCAGAACTCATACAACATACCTGAGGTGCCAACTGGAATGGGTGTGGAGCCTGGGAGGGAAGAAGACATGTGGCTATGATTGACAGCTCAAAACTCAAGTGGAAATCCACACAGTAAATGAAACATGGTGGGAAGGGCAGGTCTCTTTGGGCTGAAACTACCCAAACTCTTTGCAGTAAACTAGAAGATTTTGGAGTTACATAGACCAACATCAGGGAAGGCATAAGGTGCTGAACTACTAGAGTAATATCCCCAACAGACCAGCCCATCTGCCCTTGTAAGGTAATGGTGAGGAGGAAATGAGGTAATGCATGAAAAGCACTTAGTGTGAGCCATGCACACAGTAGGCACTCACTACATAGAAACCACAGTTGCTAGTGTCCTTCCTTAGCCTCACTGGGCCTCCTCTTCGCCATTGTTAAAATAAAAACAATACCTAAGCTGCTTTACTCATTCAACTAATTCACATGTCAGGTACTGTAAAGACAGAAACATACTCACCACACATTGCCCATGGCCTCTCAGAGCCCACAGTTGGACGCTGGTCATAAATGTTTTTACCCAGTGTTTACCACAGGAGGGGGTGCACAGTGGACATTAGAAATACAGTGGTTGGCACAGCAATTCATAACTCAGATAACTACAGAGTTGTAACCTACCGAAGCTGCAGCAACCAAATGCAACGTCTAGAAGACAACAGATGTCAGTAAATAGTGTGTATCGTTTTGGAAGCACGTGAATATGGGAAATTAATGATTTCTTCACATATTTGGAATATAAGGGAAGTCCAAGGAAAGTGAAATATATATTTGAGATGCATGTAAGACATATATGCTTAAAACTATAAGACACGAATAACAAACAGAGAAAAATCTAAATAAACAGAAAAGCATACCATGTCCATGGACTGAAACAGCATAGTAAAAATGTCAGAGCTTCTGGATCAGTAGGATTGAGTCAGTCCCGGCCATCGAAGCTTTCTGTGGGCAGACACACATATTCTAAAGTTTCTGTGAAAAGGAGAAGATGGTCAGACTAGAGAAACTGACCATATTGACAGGGAAGAGCAACGTGAGAGACAGCACTGTGATAGACGTTAGGTCTACAGTACAGCTATGGTGACCAAGACGGTGTGCTTTGCTGCAGAGACTGACACACAGACCAGTGCAGCACAAATTAGGCCCACAGATGTGCTCAACTGGCTTTTGACAAAGGTTTAGCCAACGCTGCTGGAGCCATTGAACATCCATAATGCATCGATGTCTGTGAACTACTCGCACTATATAAACACATTTCTTTTCCTAGTTTATGTGGGTGTTTTGTCTGCATGTGCATTTGTGCACTATGTACGTGTGCAGTGTCTACAAAGGCCAGAAGAGGGCGCTAGATCACCTGGAACTGGAGTTATAGATAGTCTTCAGTCACCATGGAGGGGCTAGGCAAAGAGCCCAGGACCTTTGGAAGAGCAGCCAGTGCTCTTAGCTGCTGAGCCATTGCTCCAGCCCACACATTTAAAAAAAAAAAAAAAGAAAAGGAAGGAAAGAAAGAAAAAAAGAAAGAAAGGAGGGAGGGAGGGAAGGAAGGAAGGAAGGAAGGAAGGAAGGAAGGAAGAAAGAAAGAAAGAAAGAAAGAAAGAAAGAAAGAAAGAAAGAAAGAAAAGCACAATTCTGGAAAGAAAGAAAAAAAGCCAATGAATTTGGACCACACTAAAAAGTTCAAGTGTCTTGTCTGTAAAAGTCCATATTAAGAGAATGTTTTTAATGGTCTATAGAACTTGAAGCAAATCCTAGTAGACCATCTACAGAGAAAAGGAATTGTTGCCAGAATATACAAAGAACTTTTAACACTCAACTGTAGAAAAACCCATCCAATTAGAAAATAGGCCAAAGACAGGAACAGCCATTTCACTAACGAGTACCCACGGGTGGCGGATAAGCACAGAGAAGATGTTCAAGACATTGTCTACTGGGAAAGGCACTTTAAACAACAAGATAATGCCTATAGCAGAGCTGAAATTTAAAATAATGAAAACACTGACTATTGGTGAGAACAGGGAGAAACTGAGTCCCATGTGCATTGCTGAACAATGTCCATCATTCTGAAAGACACTCTCATGTTCCTTCTAAAATCATCACGCAGGGCTGCAGAGACGGCTCAGCAGGTGGGAGCGCTTACTGCTCCTGCAGTGGACACAGGTTCGACTTACAGTACCCCCCAAACCAGCTAGGTCACAACCGCCTGTAACAGTTCCAGGGGATCCAATCCACTTCTCACCTCCACAGACTCCAAGGGAAAGCAGGAAGTACAAACATAAACACTCAGGCACCAAAGAAATATTTTTTTAAAAAGCATGCCATTGCTATACTGCCTAGCAAGTATACATAAGGCATTTATCCCAGAGAGTGAAAACTTAACATTTATACAAAACCCTATATAAGAATGTTTATATTATCTTCATTCTTAAGAATTCTAAGCTGGGGCTGGGCACAGTGGCACACACCTGTAATCCCACCACCCAGGAAAGCACAGGTGGGCATATCTCTGTGAGTTTGAGGCCAGCCTGGTCTACAAAGTGAGTCTAGGACATCTAAGGCTACACAGAGAAATCCTGTCTCAAACAAACAATTCTAAGCTGAAAAACCTTGCTCATAGTATGTGTGGCACATGTACTTTGGGGGCTGAATGGTTAGACAAAATGCAACGTGGTAGACACACAGACAGATAAGACAGACACAGATATGTAACATGAAATACTACTCAGCAAAAAGGATGTCCTAGTTGGTTTTGTGTCCCCTTGACATAAGCTAGAGCCATTTTTGGAAGCTCAATTATTCCCCTGCTAGACTGGCCCGTGGACAAGCCTTTGTGGTATTTTCCTGGCTGGTTTGAGAGGGCCCAGCTCACTGTGGGAGGTGTCACCCCTGAGCTGGTGATCCTGGGTGCTATCACAAGGCAGGCTGGGCAAGCCAGTGAACAACGTTCCCCCGTGGCCTCTACTTGAGTCCCTGCCTCCAGGTTCCCACCTTGAGTCCTCTACCTGACTTCCCACCCTAAATGACAGACGAAGCTGAAGTAAACCCTTTCCTCCCCAAGAAGTCTTTAGCCATGCTGCTTTATTCCAGCAAAAGAAACCCTAACACAGGGTAGAGGCAATAATCTGGGTGAATCTCCAAGGGCTCACACTGAGATCACCCCTGTAACTGTGGGCCAAAACCACCCATAAATAAGAGTATCCAGAAGGCATGCTGTGCGTGCTGGATGTGTGTGCTTTTCCCTGCATCCTCCTCTCTAACAGCCATCCACACTGTGTTGACACCATGGGTAGAAACTGTGACAGGGGCAGAACCGTTTCTCTGTGCTACTACTTTACTGCTTCCAGCTGGGTGGATGATCTCCATAACGTTTTCAATTTTTAAAATTGCCTTTATTGTGAAGAAGGGGGAGGGAGGGTGGGATCGGGAGGGGAGGAGGAAGGGACTTACGGGGGGACACAAAGTGAATAAAGTATAATTAATAATAAATAAATAATAATAAAAAAGAAAGAGGTGAGAAACTAAAAAACATCAAAAAAATAAAATAAATAAAATTGCCTTTATTGTTTTTTTCTATCTAAAGACTCACATTTTAATAAGAACTTGCAAATCTATATTAAAAGAGAAAAACTCTCCATCTGAAAATGTAATTGTTCACAAGATCTCTTTCTAATGCTCTGTACATGTGTGTGAGTGTGTGTGTTTCTGTATATGTCTGTGTGTGTCTGTGTCTCTGTGTGTTTGTGCATTTCTGTGCCTGTTTGTGTGCACATGTGTGTGTGCGCCCTGAGGGACACTGGTGAGAGTGGTGGGCTTTGCTGTCCTCTGCCTTCTGTGACATCAGGACTCATACTTGCCTGATGACACAGAGTGGGGGAGGGGAGTCACCTACCTGCATGTTCACTGAAAGCTTCTTCGATTCACCCGATCCTCTGGCCCCGAGCAGATAGACATGGCGACTCAGAAGACAGATGGCAGGGGCCAGGCAGCAGCTGAGCTACTTGAACAGAGAAGAGGTGGCCACTGTGATGACAGGAAGCAGGTAAGGCTAGGCAGGGTGCACCCTGTCTTCTCTGCCTCTCCTTACTTCAGAGCCAGATCCCCTGCAGTCCCACCTCCCAGGTGGAGCCCACCACTGAGACTCAAGCATCCCTTCCCACAGCCCTTACAGACTCGCTCTTTATTCTTGCTCAAGACAAATAAGATGGTGTCAGTGTTGTCCTTTGGAAACAGAACTAATTCCCAAGTGGCTCAACTTGTAGACAAGGCTTCTAAGGAGGTGTCTGTGTTTAAGTTTCTGGTCTAATGGCCCAGGCTGTGCCCTTATCAGAAGAGGCAACAAGAGGTCCGTGGGTCAGAGGAAAAGCCGCCTGAGGACATGGTGACAGTGACACACGAGAGCTCAGGAGAAAGGCTCCGTCTAACAGCATAAACTGATGAAAAATTTGTGTCTACTGTCCAAAGCCTCTAGTGTGTGATATGGTGGCATGGTGGGGTTAGCAGATTCTGACTCCGATGGGTATAGCATCAACAAATGACAGATATACACAACAATGAAGCAACAGAATCCAGGAACACCTGCGTGGCTCGTCAAAGTCATCAATATAATTAATTCAATGAAAAAATAGTCTTAAAATAATTACAGGACCATTGAATATCTATATTTTTAAGTATTTCATATTATATAGGAAATTTACTTTAAAATGCATCACATACATAAATGTAAAAGCTAGCACAATAAAATGTTTAAACCTTAGACCAGGCAAATGTTCTAGACTTCATACGAAAAGCACAGCCCCAAAAGGATGAGTTGGACTTTATAAAAAGAAACTTGTTCATTTTCAAAAGATACTGATATGAAAATAAAAGATAAGTTGATAAAATACAATATTTTTCTAACTACTTAGATGCAAAATATTCAAAGAACTCAACATCTTAGTCAAAAGACAGAAAATCCGTTTTAAAAAAAAATGAGCAAATGACTTCAATAGGCATAACAAAGATATATAGATTAATAGTCACCAGTAGAGCCATAAGAAGCTAAGGGTCCAGGTGGAGGGATGCCTCAGCAGGTAAAAGTACATGTTGCTCCTGCAGAGGTCCCAGGTTTGGTTGCTAGCACCCACATGGGAGCCACAACTCTCCGAAGTAACTCCCCTTACAGGGGATCCGAAGCCCTCTTCTGACTTCTGCCAACAGCAGGTATGCACGTGTTTTCACATACATACATGCAGGCAGAACAATTATACACGTAAAATAAATAAGTCTTTAAAAATCTAAAGATGCTAAACCTCGCTGGTAATTTGGAAAACCCAAAATGGATTGAGATGTCCCTGCACAGTTAACAACGGAATGCCTAAAATTGAAGTTAACACTACTAAGTTGAGACAAAGATACGGAACAACTGGAATTCTCTGGCTGGCTGATGGGCCAGAGTAAACAGCTTGAGAAACAGCCCTGCACATTGTTCTAGAATCAAGAATGCATTCACCCCCCTGTCCTGGCATTTCCATGTCTGAATAGTCACCCAGCAGAAATGAGGAACATGTCCACACAAAGACAAGGTACACGCATGTTCAAAGCCCTTTTGTCCACGGCCACCTCAAGCAGCGATTGTGATAGGCTCATGCAACAAACTCGTCAATAAAATTGAACATACAAAAGCATGGAGCCACAACAGAAACATTATACAAAAGACATTGTTGGCTCATTTCCACAAAACCCAGGAATGAGCTCAATGTGACAGACAGTCAGTGTCCCTATGGACTCACTGAGAGGCGGGAGGGACCTTTCAAGATGATGGAAAGGGTTGAATCTTCATCAGGGTCAACAGGTAGACACTCATCAAAACTAACCAGACTGGGCGTTTAGTTATGTGTGAATTATACCTCCATGAAGTCGGAGCCTCCCACAGTTCCAATGGAATAAAAGGATTTTAGGTGCTACCGAGAGACAGCAGAGGTGAATCTTCAGAAGGTGGGAGTGAAGGGGAGAAATACATGTCAGAGTGTCATCCTATGGTCTGTTTTTGCGATGGTTGGAAGAATGTGTGACTTAGATAGTGGGAAATGTCTACAAATGACTGATAACTACCCATGACTGAACTCCCTGTAGCTGAACCCTGCTCAGGGAGCCTTCTGCGCCCAGGAATGCACCTTTCTGTCCCCTCCCTCCCTCTTTTCATCCCAGACGCTGTTAGCACTGCTGGTGTTGGTGCTGTACCTGGGCACAGGGATATCAGGTGAGCATTCTCGGGAACCTAAGGAAGGAGAAACCACGCCCACAGAGTCCTGAGGGTGGAGATCCTGGCTGGGTGCCTGTGGGGGTGCCCACACACCCTGCCTACTCCTCCTTCCCCTCCCACCTTGGAGACCTCACTTGGACTGTGCTTGTTAAGAGGTCATATCCGCACCTGTTTCAGGAAGCAGCTGGGAAGTGTCGGGACAGATCAGGGACTGCAACTACCCTCAGACCCCTGTGGCATCGCAGGTAACACTAAGGGGACCAGGAAGGCTTCTCAGAGGAGCTCGTGAGAGAGAAGGATAAATAAAAGCTAGTCAAGGGGGAGAAGGCAGGGTCGGGTAGCCCAGGCAGGATGAACAGCATGTGCAAAGGCTTAGGGAGCGTTCTCAAATTCAAAACAAAACAAAACAACCCCCTGAAAAGTTTGAAGATACAGATTTGATGTCTGTCTTTCAGGGTTTTGAATATCAGACGAAGGAGCCCGCTGAAGAGCCAGTAAGGACCCTCAGGAAGTGGCTGAAGATCAACTTGCACGGCTTTTTGGAGAAGCTAGAGAAAGAAGTGCGAGATCTGGAACAGCTGGTGCGCGACCTGGAATTCTGGCTGGATGCGCTTCTGGGAGAGCCGCGCCCGGAGGACCCCTGCTCTGCCCACAAAGGTCACTTGTGAAGGGCAGGTGCAGGGACCCGGGGAGTGGAAGAGGAGGTGACAAGGTCCGGCTCTGACACTTGCTGCTCTGGGCAGGCTTGAGAAAATAAAGTGGCTGAAAGGCCAAATGCACTGCTCGGTGCTCACGCCGTGAACACTGAGGAAGAATAGGGGGACACTGGCTGGTCACCATGCCTGAGGTAGCCCCCAGAGGCTTTGAACTCACCTCTTCCTTTCCACTCACTGGAGACACTGGGCAAATCTCCTTAATCTCTCTCTCTTAAAAAGTATCTGTATACATGTGTGTTCATGTGTGTGCATGCATATTCGCATTTGCTCATGGATGAGCCTATGCACACTCACACGTGAGTTCATGTGTGAATACATAGTCTCCTGTGTATGCATACGTGCATGAACGCTTATGTGTGTGCTCACATCGTTGCTCAGGTCTGTGTAAATGTGTGTGTACCAACAACAAGCCTCACCAGGCATTACATCTGCTGTTAGCAACACGTTACTGGCTCTTACGGACTTTCAGCTGGTATGAAGAAGCCTGTAAGCCATGGCGCGCTGTCTGAAAACAAGCAAGGTGCTAAGTAGATGGGGAAGGCACACCAGGAGTCCTGTTAGTTGCCAACAATGCTACTCCATATAGACACAGAAACTCAGGAGCAGAAAAGGATGAGAATCTAAGTGTGAGGAACAACACTAACAGGACAACGATGATGAAACCTTGAGCAGTGGCGACTTTTCAAAGTACAGAGAGAAAAGCCCTCTCTTTCAATTTAGAAGATCAAACAGCCTTTCTTTACACAGGACACACACACACACACACACACACACACACACACACACAGCCCGCCCTCTTCCATTACCTCCAGGCAACTGAAGTATCTGGTTGTTTTTAATCGGGATTATGTCAGCCTTGCTGTCAGAGGCTATTCACGGTGCTTTTTCTATGATATTTTTCTTTTTCTTTTTTCTTTTTTTTTTTGGTTTTCCTCTTTTAATGCAGTCACTACATGTATGCTATTTGTTAAAGCTACTCAGCTCTTTGGGAAAGCATAATGGGTCCAATCAAATAATCCCAGGGGACAGCTGTCATCCAGGGAATGGAACCACAGTTGGTTTTCCCAGAGGAATTAATCAGTCGCCTTTAGGGATGGAAAGTCTTGCAAGTTACGACCACGATGTTTTCACTCTGGGTATCCGGCAGGGACGTGGAGCCAAAGCCTGTGTTTCCTCATTTGCACTTACTTAGCAAGCATCTCTGGGAAGGGATTGGTCCCGCTTGCGTGTGTAGCTACATATTTCTCTCTAGAGCTGTAGCTACACCAAAGCCTGTGCGCTGCAGGGACTTTAAAAGACTCAGACATAATCTCAACCACACACACTTTACAAACCTCAAGTCTCCCCAAGTCGAAATTCAACCGTATCTGTGACACATATGTGCATACTGTTCATATTTGTTCTTCCTTTACATGTATGTATATTACATACTCCTGATATTTTACATTGTATCATGATCATCTTACAGTTTATATGATTCAACCAGATCAATTCCACATCTGAAAATCCGAAACCTGGGACATTCCTCGATCTGAGCCTTTTTTGAGCACTGAGAGAGCAACCAGTGCAACATTCACAGCTGGCCTCATGATAGACACAGCGCCCTGAAAATACGGTGTTCAGTGAGCATCAAGCTGTGAGCGCTTGTCGCACACAAATCATAGCTTGTGCCCTGTCCCTAAGTCATCTCCTTAGGTAATTTAATGCAAACATTCCACATTCCACAATTCAGAGAAACATCCTGAAAAAAACATCCTGAAAAATATTTCAGAAAAAAAAAAAAACACCTCAAAATATGTATGGGTGCCAGCATTTAGAGGCTATTTAACTTGTGTTTGTAAAATACAGTCTCATGCGTGTGTATGCAAATTTGCATGTGCGCATTTGCAGGCAGGTGCTCCAGCACAGCACATTCTGGGAGTAGGGAGCCTGCAGCAAGAAGTTTTCAAGAACCAAGGATGGCTCCCGTGGACTCAGCAGCAGGAGCCCCTGGAGCCTTCCCCAGCATGCCACCTTTACCTCAGCTTGTCTGCTCTCTCTGTTCTCTGTTCCTCTTCTGTGCCTGTCCCAGTTCTTGCTGCCTCGGTCTTCGCTCCATCTTGTCTCAGCACTCTGCTTCAAACTCTGTTGGCTTCTAGCCCACTCTGTTGGCTGCTCCTCTGCCACAGCCTTCAATCCAAGGCCAGGTGACTCTGTGTTTCCCAGGTGAAAGTCTAGGATGATGGGTAGTGGGTGACTGGCCCATCTTGTTGGCTGTGCCAAGCTAGTCTTACATACCAGCGTGCCTTTGGATTGGTACTGTGGTGGCCACCAGAGAGGACTAAATACAGCCAACTGCTGTACCTGTGGAGGCTCCCATCCATGAACTGAATGTTCTGGACACAGCCTCACAGTAAGACAGCTGTTCACATCCATTTCCCTGGTACCGGCACAATAAGCTATCTAGAGATAACGGAAAGCAAGGGCAGGGTGGCTTAGATCGCTTACCCTGTACCCACTTTACATAAAGTACCAGAGCATCCTCAGGCTTTGATATCTGGAAGAATTCTGAAGTCAGTCCCCTGTGCATACTGAGGAGCCCCAGGACTTTAGAAAAAGCTGAGCACTGAAAGAGACAGCCTGGGCCCATTCCCCTCCAGGGACTCTGAACTGTGGTCTGGCAATCTGGCTTCCAAGGTGGTCAGCACACCCAAGTCAATACAAGAGCTACAGACATGTCTGAAATGAAGGCTGTGTGAGGGTCAGGGCCCAGCTAGCTTTCAGAGCTGTCATGAGTGTGCTCTATCAGAGAGAGATGAATATGTTTGTCGTTCCATAGTGTCTGAATTTAACACACACACACACACACTCACACACACAAAAGCAGCAGTTTGCCATATATTCCCACTTTCTCTGATGACCCCAGCCAAGGCAAGCACTGGTTTTTTGTTTACTTGTTTGTTTGTTTTACAAGCTTAATTACTAACATTATATTATACTTTACCAATCACACAGTAAATATATCAACACACAGCTGCGTGTGTACGCTGTAGAGCGGCTATAAAGGGCTAAGTAGCCAAGGAGCTTCAAAGAGCTGCAGAGGTCAAAGCTAGGAAACTGACAGAAAAGCAGGAGGTCCTGTGGCAGTCTCAGGAGAAGTTCTGCCTCTGTGGAGTCGGGCTGTGCAGGTCACAGGTTTGAGCGGAGTTGCAGAGCTGAGTCCAGCTGCAGAGGTGAAAAGGTAAGACCGAGTCAAGGCAAAGAAATAAATGAGGCGATAGACAGGCAGCGGGTTCAGACATGCAGACTGGTTAACGAGCAGAGGGCAGTTCAAACAGGCTGCACCAACAATGAGCTGAGCTGAGGCATCCGGGACAGTTCTTGAAACCTTGGGACTTCTATCAGCCCCTTGACACATGCTAGATGGTGAGATGGCTCGCTGGTGGGGGCCTTGGTCATTGCAGTACTAGTTAGTGTCCACCTTTCTAAGGGACGCAGATGAGGGGGTTACACCCTTTCCCCAGATATGTTTTTAATAGGCTCATGTGCCCCTGCAGATAAATGTAGAGAGTGTCACCCTATCTATGCCTAGAAACAAATCGTTTGCCAGTCTGTGCTGCATGGGTGATGCGGCACAAATGAGGCCAGTCACGTGTCTACCCACTTGTCTTAGTTAGGGTTTCTACTACTGTGATGAAACACCATGACCAAAGAGAGTTGGGGGGGGGGCGGTATTTGGTTTACATTTCTACAGCACTGTTCATCATTGAAGCAAGTTAAGACAGGAACCCAAACAGGGCAGGAACCTGGAGGCAGGAGCTGATGCAGAGGCCATGGAGGGGTGCTGCTTCCTGGCTTGCATCCCCTGGCTTGCTCAGCCTGTTTTCTTATAGAACCTGGGACTACCAGCCCAGGGATGGCACTACCCACAATGGGCTGGGCCCTCCTCCATCAATCACTAGTTAAGGAAATGCCCTACAAGCTTGCCGACAGCCTGATCTTATAGAGGCATTTTCTTAATTGAGGTTCCCTCCTCTCTGCTGACTTTATCTTGTGTCAGGTTGACATAGAACTAGTCAGCACAATTGACCAGTCAGGTTGACATGCAAATATGTCACCATTAAAGGCACAACCTTTGTTTTCTCATTCATCCCCAAGATCTCATATTAAAACCATAAAAACTATAAAAGTCCCACAGTCTTTACAAATACAAACACATCAAGAGTTCAGTCTCTTAACAATATCCAATCTCTTTTCAGATCCAAAATCTCTCTTTAAGAATTTAGTCTTGAGGGAGAAAACAAAGATGGCGATGCCTGCTGGAGAGCTCGGTGGAGTCAGGGAGACCCATGGAGGCTGCAGAGGGTAATGCAGTGGTGGAAAGGGGCCTGCCCATCTCGAGATAGCTCTGGAACAACTAAGGGGTGGGGGAGGGGTGCAAGTCTTCTGGGAAAATGATTTTTAAAAAATGAATTCATGGAAGGGGGGAGGGGAAGATGGCGAAATAGCCTCACATACAAGAGAAGGACGAACCTACACCCTTTGCTACCTTGTCTCAGCTGGCAAGCAGGCCGCAAGCACAAAGGTCATGCCTGATTGGCTGGCATCAATGACAGGGAGACGTGTGGTATCCTGGAGCTCCCTCAGAAACAGGTCATCACTGTGTAGAGCTAGCCATGGCCTGCATGTGGCCTGTGGCCGCTTCTAGCCTGGAACCACCATGACTGCAGCCCAAGCTGCCTGCCCGGCTGGGAGACGGAGCATACGGGACAGTGGAGCTGCCTGAAAGCTTGCAACTACAAAGTCGGAGCCCAGTCGCAGACATCAAAGGCCAGGCACTCCCACTGAACCTGCTCCTGGATGCCCTGCCTAGCCGAAACACCACCCTGACTCTGGGCCGCATCAGGATATCTGAGAGGAGCCTCAGCAATGGTCCAGTATGTATGGTGCTTCAGAAACTAGTAACCTTGAAC